ATTTTGGAATAATTTTAATTTACAGAAAAATTGCAAAGATAGTACAAGAGTTCTGTGTACCTCTCACCCGTTTGCCCCTAATGTTAACATCTTTTATAACTATAGTATATTTGTCAGAACTAAAAAATTAACATTGGTATATTACTGTCAGCTAAAGGACAGACTTTATTTGGGTCTCACCAGTTATTCTACTGATGTCCCATTTTCTGTTCCAGGATGCCACATCCCATTTAGTTGTCATGTCTCTTTAGCTCTTCTGATCTGTGACAGTTTCACATCCTTTGATTTTCAAAATCTTGATAGTTTTGAATACGAGTCAGATATTTTGTAGAATGTCTCTCAGTTTGGGTTTGTTTGATGCTTTCTCATGATGAGACTAGAGTTATGGGTTTGAGGACAGAATAACTAGCACAGAGGTCAAGTGTCCTTCTTTCGGTACACGATATCCACATGATGTATGACTGGTGATTTTAACCTTGGTCAGTTTGTTTCTTCCTTGTAAAGTTACTGTTTTTCTCTTCCCATACTCTGTTCTTTGGAAACAAGTCGCTAAGTCCAACTCACACTTTCCCACAAGGGGAAAGGAATCCAGGAGGGAAGAGTATCTGCATGTATTTGGGATTTTTCCCAAACGGGGAGATTTGTCCCTTCTCCCTCATTTATATATTCAGTTATCGTTTATATCAATATGGATTATAACCTTAAGTTATAATCTATTACTGTGTTATTTTGTTGCTCAAATTATTCCAGATTAGGCTGTATCAGATCAGCTCCTATGTCCCTTTGCATGCCCCTATCCGAAAACATCCTTGTGTTTTTTGAATACTTCCTTTCTGGCCCTACAGGGTATTCTAGACCCATCTTGTATTCTCTCTGCTTCAGCCTAGAATCAGCCATTTTTCTCCAAGGAGCCCTAGTTCCTTTTATTAGATAATGGTATTTGGAAATCAAGATCTAGGCACTGAGTGTGCTTGTTCCTGCTGAAGTGTCACTGATTCCAGGTCCTTCCGCTGGGTAGAGCTAGGAAATACATGTATGTATACTAACCCATGTGTACACACATACTTAGGATTATGTCTATATCTTATGTCTATCATCTCCCCATATACGTACATACGTACAAATAACATAACAAATAAATGTTTATTTATATACATTAATAAACAGCTATGTAAAGCTAAAGGAGTTTATACTGAATTCTCTGACTGATCCAGCACCACATTCATTCTAGCCTTCTATCCTTGCTTTTGGAACTTCTTTCTCTGGGCTCTCATTATCTATCACTTATTTACTTATTTGTTCAGTCCTAGCCTACTTGTAGTTTCAGGATTGTTAACCCATGCTTCTATAAGAAACAAATTTGCGAACTAGAGTACAGTGTTTATGTATAATTCTTTCTGTCTTTAGTCTTACAGTTTCCAGTCAAAATGATGTTTTCCAAAGTTACTTAGGTCAGCTTTTTCCCCACCTTGAAGGTTGTGAGGTTAGGTCATGTTATACATTTCTAATACAGTTTGATACATTTGTCACAGTCTGCATTCCATTCTGGATTCTCCCAACATCCTGCTTGATATTTTAAAATTTGCATATATTAAAGGTCTTTGTGATGGACAGTTTTATGGGTTTTGACAAATGCCATGATTTTATTTTTAAGCAAATCATTAGCGCCTTTATAGTTAGCAACATACTTACAACACACTTGGCAACTGATCTTTAGTTCAACTGATGAACTAAATTAGTTCATCTAAAAACCTCTTTCTCCCACAGCATTCATTGAACCTTCATTTATCATGTCTCAGCTCACATCATTGATGATTCTCTCCAGGAGTGTCTTGAAAGATTCTGAGAAAAAAAGGCATCTCCTCCTCTCTGCACTGTCCATCATGAGGTTGGAAAGGCTTTTTATGGAAAGGAAGGGACAACAAGGCAAAAGCCAGTACTTGAACCAGCCTCATCCCATCTGACCTACTACAGCCTCCAGCTTCTAGTAAAACCTCTAAGGTACTGGTTTTCAAATTGTGAGCCCCCAGAACAACAGTAATAGCATCACCTGGGAAATTGTTAGAAAGGAGAATTCTCAGGCTCCACCCGTACTCACTGAATCAAAAACTCTGGAACTGGGTTCCAGTAATCTATTTAAAAAAAAAAAGATAGTAGGAAGGGAAAAATGAAGGGGGGGAAATCGGAGGGGGAGACGAACCATGAGAGACTATGGACTCTGAGAAACAAACTGGGGGTTCTAGAGGGTAGAGGGGTGGGGGGATGGGTTAGCCTGGTGATGGGTATTAAAGAGGGCACGTATTGAATGGAGCACTGGGTGTTATACGCAAACAATGAATCATGGGACACTACATCAAAAACTAATGATATAATGATGTAATGAATGGTGATTAACATAACGTCATAAAATAAAAATTTATATTCAAAATGGTAAAAAAAAAAAAAAAAGTCCTCTGGGTGATTCTGATGCACACTAAAGTTTGAGAACCTCTGCTCTAGGTTAACCAGCCATTTATCAGTCACATCTGTAGAGGCAGCAGTGAGGATTCATCTTGACTTCCTGCTAGGGCCTGGGGGATCCAGAACTGGTCAGCCAGGGGCAAGCTGCAAGTGCAGCCAAAGGGTTAAAGGGCTGTTTTTCTTTTGGTTTGTTTGTTTTTAATTGTGATTCACCAGAGGATGGAAAATTTCTGGCTTGGATGTCTGGAGGGCAATATATGTTATCTCTTTGAGACAGAAGAGGAAGTCTTAATGATACTAAAACTTTTATATGCTTTTTTTTTTGTAACTGCAAAATAACTGAAATCACAAGTATTTAACAATTTTCTTTAGTGATTTCAGTTTTTTAAAATTTTTTACATTTGTTATTTCTAATGTAAAACAATCTAATCTAATATAAAAACAATATGATCATATTTGCATATTTTAATTAACATTTATACTTTAGGGAGGTAAAAATGATTGGCATCCAGTATGAGGTTGTAGTAAGAAAAATGTTGGGAGATATTTTCTGATCTAGGTAAACCTCTCATGCCTTCAAGTCCCTAATTTCACCTCCACCCCAGACACTTCTATGACTTCAGATCTTACTCCCCTTACTCTGTTCCAGCCACACTGGCCTCCTCTTTGTGGTTCCTAGAACCACTGTAGGGCCTTTGCATGTAACAGTTGTTTCTGTTTGGAATATCCTGCCAACAGATATCTGCGTAGCTAGCTCCCTCACTTCCTTCGAAAGTGGCATTTTCAAAGAGAACTCACCCTACTAGTCCACCTAAAATCTCCTACACACACCCCATTCCTAGCACACAAACACTTCACTTCATGTCATGTTCCCAGTGTTCATTTTTTCTCTTTGTTTTCAGTGTTCATTTACTGTCTGTGTGTGAGTGTGTGTGTGCGCATGCTCACACATATGTATATATACTGTTTCCAGTGGAATATAAGTTTTATTAGCATAGATTTTTATCTGTTTTATATATTGTCTAGAACAATGCCTGACACACAGTAGGTACTCAGTTATTATTTGTTGAGTGAATATCTCCAAACATGCATTTATGTGACTGGTAATAATTAGGGGTACGTGATAGCATTTTTGCCTTATCATTATTACCCAAACTGAAATGAGAGGCACCCTGTTTTTTTCTTCTCCTGAATTGCCTCCGTTCTAATTAAGAGGGATGGGGAAAGGCAATACCTAAGAAAATAATTACAGATTCTTTTTGCTTCCTATGGACCTTGTAGCTCACTGCCAGTTAACCTTGCTCCTTTCTGTCTCAGTGCCTGCAAGAAGGGAATGGGGCAGGCTGGTGTGAGATGGGGCCTTGTAGGTCACAGTAAATAAGGGGTTCCCTGGGGAAGATGAAAAAGTCCTAGAGATGGATGGTGGTGATGGTGATACAACAGTGTGTATATACTTAATGCCACAGAACTGTACACTTAAAAATGGCAAATTTTATGTTATGTATATTTTACCACGATTAAAAAAAAAAACCCAAACACAGTGGTTCTAAAAGTGTAGTTTCAAATCATTAGTAGCAGCTTCACCTAGGAACTTGTTAGGAATGCAGATTCCCAGCCTCCACCCCAGCACTGTTGATTCTGAAAGTAGAGGTAGGAGTCCGCAGTACTTTGTGTTAACAAGCCACTCAGGTGGTTCTGACACACACTGATGTTTGAGAATCACAGCATTACAGCATTTTGTTTTAATCCCTAGAGCTATGAAAAACTATTGTAAAGTTTTATAGAATATCTTCATGCCCTGGTAACTGCATAAAGTTGCCTTGGTGAGAAATTCTGACCACTTTAGGGGTAAAATTGAAAAGTGCTATGGAAATGTTTTGAAAATTACTAGTTTAAGTAGCGCTTCAAAAAACAAACTTAAAATTTAGAGGGCCTGCTGTGTTTCAAGCGTCTTACCAAATGCTCTCACATTTGTTTTTCCACTTAACCTTCAAATCAGTCCTGGTGCAGTAAATACTACATTATCCGCATTTAAAATGAGAAAAGGAGCGGAGATGGATTACACGGTGATTGATCTACTTTCCTCCTGGTGCACACTTACTACCACTAGGTGGCAGTGGTGGGGTGGTTACCCAGACCTGGGCAAGGCCTTCTGGGATTACGGACAGAAAATGAAATAAATGTGGCCCCTTATGAAAGAATTTAGAGGGCAAATAACCATAATCTTTATATAAACAGGTTCCAATTTCTGGTATGTAAGAGGATCTCTGAAAATCCACTCCTGTATAAAAGCAGTGAGGGGCACCTAGGTGGCTCAGTGGGTTAAGCATCCGACTCTTGATTTCAGCTCAGGTCATGATCTCAGGGTTGTGGGATGGAGCCCTGCATCGGCTCAGTGCCTAGTGTGGAGTCTGATTCTCCCTCTCCCTCTGCTCCTCCCCTGCTCACACACACTCTCTCAAATAAGTAAAATCTTAAAAAAAATAAAAGCAATGAAAACACTGTGAAAAATTCTTAAAATCAATTTTTTCAGAACTAGTAAATAACCAGAGGCTTGTGACAATCTGAGTAGCATTTATCCAAGAAAAATGACTTAAACATGGTAAGAACAGCAAGCTTTATAATAGCTTTAACAGTTTTCTATCTCCTGTCAGCTTCACAGTAGCCTTGAAAATGAATAGCCTCAAGGAAAACCTGCAGTTCTAGCAGGCACTGAAGAGAATGGATTTGGAGCTCCCTAAAATCCCCAGCCCCCAAGAATTGTTACAATTAGCTTGTCTGGCACTTCCCTGGAAACTCCCACTCACTGGGCTTGCCTGGTTTTCACCTGACTCAGCTAATTCATTGGGAACAGCTTCTCCCGACGCACCCCAGAGCACGCTGCAACAGGCACATGAAGCCCTTTGGCAAAGGCTGGCAAACTTGCTGGTGGAAAGCATCGAAGGACGTCCCTGTCCAATGGTTAGGTAACCACTAAGCTAATACAACATAGATAGAATACAAGGGACTATAGATTAATGGAATAGAATTGAGAGTCCAGAAATAAACCCTCACATTTATGGTCAATTGATTTTCTATATTGTGCCAAAACAATTCAACAGGGGGAAGAATTGTTTTTTCAACCAATGGTGCTAGGAAAACTGGATTTCCACCTGCAGAAAAATGGAGGTGGATCCTTTCCACACATAATATACCAATATTAGCTCAAAATCGACCAGGCCTAAATGTTAAAACTAAAACAACATTCTTAGAAGATAACATAGAAGTTTTTGTGACCTTGTGTATGACACCAAAAGCTCAAGCAACAAAAGAAAAAAAAAAATGGATTAAGTTGGACCTCATCAAAATTTGAAATATATTTCTGGGATGGTGAAAATCTTTTGGAATTAGATGGTAGTGGTCAGTACACAACTTTGTGAATAAGCTAAAAACCACTGAATTATACACTTTAAAAGGATGAATTTGGGGCACCTGGGTGGCTGAGTCGGTTAAGCGTCCAACTCTTGTTTTTGGCTTGGGTCATGATCTTAGGGTCACGGGGAGTCCACTTTAGATTCTCTCTTTGCCTCTCCCTCTGTCCTTCCCCCCCAAAATAAATAAATCCTTTAAAAAAAAATAACGTTTATGATATGGAGTTATGTATATGTCAGTAAGTGTTATTTTAAAGATTTTATTTATTTATTTGACAGAGAGAGACACAGCGAGAGAGGGAACACAAGCAGGGGGAGTGGGAGAGGGAGAAGCAGGCTTCCTGCTGAGCAGGGGGCCCAATGCGGACTCGATCCCACAACCCTGGGATCATGACCTGAGCCGAAGGCAGACGCTTAACGACTGAGCCACCCAGGCGCCCCCAGTAAGTGTTATTTTAAAAATCTTTACACAAATATAAACATATGCCCATATAAAGTCTATAGAAGGGGGCGCCTGGGTGGCTCAGATGGTTAAGCGTCTGCCTTCGGCTCAGGTCATGATCCCAGGGTCCTGGGATGGAGCCCCGCATCCGGCTCCCTGCTCAGCGGGAAGCCTGCTTCTCCCTCCCCTACTCCCCCTGCTTGTGTTCCCTCTCTCGAGGTCTCTCTCTGTCTCTCTGTCAAATAAATAAATAAAATCTTAAAAAAATAAAATATAAAGTCTATAGTAGTATCTTTTAAATTGTTACATTTAAATTTTTTTAACAGCAAGAGAAAAAAAGTGAAGAAATCATGTTTCTCACCAGCTTTGGGAAGTCTACCTCTAACCATATTTTACTCCTATTCCCTCTTTTGCCTCCCCTTATTGCTCCAACTCTGAAGCTACAAAGATATCCAAGTTGAAGTTTGGAACTGCAAAGGTACAGACTATTTGTCTACTAACAAATAGATTTTAAAAACTACTTGAACTTTCCTGTGAGCTTTTATCCACATAGCTGTGAGAGCACATTCTTCTTGCATTAAAGGCAAGTCTTGGGCATTCCTTTTTTGGTTACACAGAGCATTAGGCAGTGCCAGGACACTAATCAGATTTATCACTGGTGCCTTTCCAGCTTTCTTTTCTGTTCCATTGTACTTCATAGCGCTCCCCTTTTTCCATGTTCTAGGACTGTAGGGCGCTTCTGATTCTGAATCCTATACCAGCCTTGGTCTCTCTCTTGTACCATGACTCCCATACTCAGAATCACCCCCTCTTTCCTCTCACCCTCATCAAAACTATTTCTGGCTGTCTCTCCTTTGACTTCTGATTAATTATGACTGATTTAGAAATTTCATGCTAAGGCTGAAGGTGAAAGTGGCTAACTGAAACTAAGTTTTTTTTTAAACATTTATTTTTATTTTAGAGAGCATGAGCAGGAGGGGCAGAGAGAGAGGAAGAGAGAATCTCAAGCAGACTCCAAGCTGAGTGAAGAGCCCAATGCAAGCAGGGCTCAGTCTCACGACCCTGAGCCAAAACCAAGAGTTGGACGCTTAACCGACTGCGCCCCCCTAGGCGCCCCCTGAAACTAAGTTCTTAAGCATACATTTGTTTTAAGAATGAATGCATTTCCGGGGCGCCTGGGCGGCTCAGTCGGTTAAGCGTCTGCCTTCGGCTCAGGTCATGATCCCGGGGTCCTGGGATCAAGCCCCACATCAGGCTCTCTGCTCAGCTGGGAGCCTGCTTCTCCCTCTCCGTCTGCTCCTCCCACTGCTTGTGCTCTCTCTCTCCCAAATAAATAAATAAAATCTTTAAAAAAAAAAAAAAAAGAATGAATGCATTTCCTAATTTTGTTCACTGAGAAGGCATGGAAACAATGACAAACTCAGTAACAATGAGTCTTCCTAAGGCATCTCTAAAAATACTTCTTTAAAGGAACCAGAGCATACTAAAGGAATGTCTGATTCCAAACCAGGGGCAGAAAGCATTCAAAATGAATCTGTAATATCATGTCAGAAAGTAAGGAAGCTATCAATGATCACTGAGCACATGTTGAAAGTACTCAGGAGCCAACATAGAAGGGTCCCTAATGACTAAAAATGAGACTGAGTATCAAAAAGAAAAATGACTGAAATGGGCTGGGGTACATGTGTTAAAATGCAAGAGTTCTTTATGTTATTTCTATTCATTTTTTAAAAAGATTTATCCACTTATCTGAGAGAAAGAGTGTGCATGTATAAGAGTGGGGAGGGGCAAAAGGAGAGAATCTTTAAGCAGACCTTCTGCTGAGCGTGGAGTTGGACATGGGGCTCAATCCCACAACCCATGAGATCATGACCTGAGCCATAACCAAGAGTTGGACCCTCAACCAACTGAGCCACCCAGGTGCCTCCGCCCCGTGTTATTTTGAAACAAAAGATCACCTGTGGAGGCTGCAAGGAAAGCAATCCATTAATTTGAAAACTGGCAAAGGGAAAGAACCAAGCATTTACTCCACATTTCTTGTGGGCTTTTACCTTAGGATAATCAAATAGTTAATGTAGAATAAGACCATTTTACAACCCATATTGAAATAATAGATCTAGGTAACATCATCAATGTCTGCTAAAAACATCAAATGAAAGGTTGAGGGAGGTCTTTATAAGGTATGAGTCAGACTGATACAGTAGGATCGGTATAGTAGGATACAGTAGGAAGTATGCAGCACCACCTGGGCATGTGCTTGCTAAAAATTCTAACCTAAATCTGATGAAGCCTCAAAAATCTGTTTATAAGAAAAAGAATTTAGAAGAATATGTTAAACAACACCAAGGGGATACCCTCCCCAAAATCCCAAATGAGGGAAATTCTGTAGAACTTATGACCTAGCTTCTTCAACAAATAACAAGAAAGGAGGGGGAGATCTCTACAGGACACATCAACCATATTCAGTGTGCCCCTATTTAGAATAAACCAACGATTAAAGAAATTATAAGCCCATTGGGGAAATTTATTTGATCACAATATGCTAATATCAAGGATATAATATTTTTTAATTAAGCTAATGGTATTCTGGATAATGATTTTGAGAAGTTGCTGTTTTGAGATGCATACTGAAGTATTTATAGATGAACTAAATAGGATGTTTGGGATTTGCTTTAAAATAATTCAGTAGGAGGTCACCTGGGTGGTTCAGTCAGTTGAGCATCCAGCTCTTGATTTTGGCTCAGGTCATGATCTCAGGGTTGTGAGATTGAGTCCTATGTTGGGCTGTGCGCTCAGCACAGAGTCTACTTGAAGATTCTCTCTTCCTCTCCCTCTGCCCCTTTCCCGACTCTCTCACTTTCTCTGTCTCTCTCAAAAATAAATAAATTAAATCTTTAAAAATAAAAAAAATAATTCAGTAGGGAGTTGGGAGGTGTTCAGATGAAACCATATTTATTGGCTTAGTTGTTGACACTGGGTGGTGAGTACAATGGAGATTTATAATACTGATCCCTATGTGTACTTAGAATTTAGATTTTAAAAATTATATATAATATAGTTTTATACATTTTTAAATATATAATTTAAAAATTTTACACAATTCATGATTACATCTAAATTTGATTTCCAGTTGGAGAATTATGGCTTGGGTGGAAGAAGGCTTTCTTGAGCCCCTTGCTGCCATTGCAGCCTACCCAGAATTTACCAGAGTAGTATTGACAACTTGGCATCCTGGTTTATCACTTGTGGGAGGTTCTAATCTTTACCTAAACTGCCCAGTGCTATAATATGTAATATTTCCACCAGAACCATTGTTATGACAAGATACATGTGAGAAGTACTTTTATAAAACTTACAGCTGGGGCGCCTGGGTGGCTCAGTTGGTTAGGCGACT